CGCTCTTGGAGTCAGCGATCTCATCCAGACCGTCGACTACAATCACAAGCTCGTTAGAGCCGGCAGCAGGGTGCTGAAGGGCCTCTGTCAATGCCTGCCAAAGATACTCTTCGTAGGTCTTGACATCTTCACAGTTTCGGCACTGGTTGTAAGCCCGGAAAAGCGCCCAGTACATGTTCATGTTTCCAATGCGCAGATTTAGCAGCTGGAAGAGCAGAGACTTCACTACTGCCAGCGACGTCGCAGCAGTTGGAATATCTGGAGAGAGGGAACAGAACAACGTATCGTACTGCTGGCGGTTCATAGGCCGCTGCAGACGCTCAACGATGGATCCAGCAAGGGTGGTCTTACCAGCACCCGACTGGCCAGTGACCAAGAAGATGCGGTTCTGGCTGTGGAAAAATCTTGTCAAATGCTTGTTGAACCACAGGCAAGTAAATTCCTGGAACGTATTAAGTAAGTGTTTGTTCTGTAACATATCTGGTCCTTGGACTTACTGCTTGGTTGTCTACATATGTCTCATGATCTCTGGTGATTGCAGCAATCACTCGATCCTGAGACGCCAGCCATCGGCTCAAATGCTGAACATCAATGGATTCTCCTTCTTCGAAAACTTCGTTCTCGATTTGGGATTGCCAGATGAGCTCAATCACAGTGTTTTGGCGAGTACGGAATGACTCGATCGTATCGCCAAATTGCTCAAAAATATCTAGGCTGGTGGAGTTAGATGACATACCTAGGCTGGTTAGTAGATATTCTTGAGACGTTTCAAAGATAGAACCACATACCCTTGGCGGCGTAGTAGAACTGAATGCCAACATCGACTACGAGGCTGATAAGATCTGCGTAGAGGAGGCAGATCTGCTCACGGATCTCAGGGCTCGCAGCCAACAACTCGGAACGGTGCAACACCGAGTGAAAGGACATGGCAAACTTGTAGAAGATTGAGAATGCCTTGTCCAGAGCTTCAGAGTTGTGATGGCTGAGCTCAAGAAGCAGTTGTGCATGGCCGTAACCAACAATGGCAGCAGAGGCACTGTTGTGAGCAAATGGCTGTATGGCTTGTTCGAACTTATGAAGTTGCTCGGCAAAATAAAGGGCGCGAATCAGGACTCTGTCCCATCGGCTGCCCTTGTGTGGGAGTGTGGTCAGTCGCTCGGACCGGATCCACTCAAGAAAAGAGACATAAGTAACATCGCGGATGTTCTCATGCGCGACGCCCAGCGCCTTCTTGCTACGGTCAGTCAAAGCTGCCGCAGACTCTTGAACAAACAAATTTTGGTAGTTGCCAGTACTGCCGAGACGCTTCTTGGGGGATTTGATCGAACCAAAGTTTCCGCTTGTGCCACGAGAAGAGGCAAAGGACGACAAACGTCCTTTGGCGCGGAAGAGCGCCCCAGGCGACTCTGTTGGGGAGAGCACGCTTGCTCCGTTGGTTCCGTTCAACTTTCCGGAAGAAGAAGAGAGCCTGAGAGACATGATGCTAGGCCGAAAAGGTGGCGGTGTGCTAAAGGTGATTGAGGATTGTGCTGAAAGATTAGAGGTCACCGAAAACCGGCGAGGCAGAGCAGGTTGCAGGCTTTCTGACGGAAGAGGTTGTTGAGATGGTTCTGTAGTAGATCTAGAGCGTGCAACCGGGGTTGATGCAGGGCTAGTGTCAACAGGCAATGAAGGAGCAATTATTGTTGGCTCTTGAAGTGGCAAGGGACGTTGTGGCCCTATTGCTGGCTTTCTTAGAGACTGTGATGAGGGTTGGGACTGCAGTGCTGGTGCAGTAGAGGTAGAATAGCTAATCTCGGGGGGAGATGGTAATCCCTTTATTGACTGCGATCGGGATGGTGAGAGTCGAGTAGGAGTTTGCAAAGGCGAAGTAGTGCCTGAGTCAATGGAGGAGATAGATGGAGTATTTCTATCTCTATGCTCAGTGTTGTCGGGTGACTGTTGGGAGCGCTTCTTTTTCTGCTTTTCTTGCCAATGGATATCAGAATCAACTGCTGAGGGGGCTCACACCAGGAAGTACTCACTGAATAGATGCAGCATGTGGATTGGAACACAGATGGTTCAGTGTCCGGAGCGCAGGCAGTCTCTTTAAAACATGATGCTCTACAGCTAGTAGGCGGGGCACGTATGCTTGCATGGCATTGACCATCGGGCTGTAATCCCAGACCGCAGATACCGGAGCATTCCCAATGCGTCATTCCTGGTTCACATGGCAGCTAGTTCAGCTAGTCCCAGGACGAAGGTATGTCCAAGGTACCCATTGTGGCTTGAGCTGATAATTCAGGCCGTCGATCCCTACATCAGGGTTGAAAGGATAAGCTTGGCATTCCTTCTGTGCGTGATATACAGTATTGGCGCGTACAGATGGCCTCTATGCCAAACCCACCTATCGTCTAGGTGTGGGGTGCGGCGCATGTTCCGTTGCAGGCTCAGCCCGGCAAAGCAACCAAGCACGCAAGGTGATAGGCAGGGCTACATATGTGGAGCCCAATAATTGTTGTGATACTATCAAGTGTGACAATGGCGTAAGTATGACCCTTGACGGTTCATATTAGATAGATACACCAGACTATTGTTAGGACATAGCTGCCTGCAAAAACACTGCCCTGGTGGCTTGGAGATTGCCTCTTTATTGCCTATGTAGTCAAAAAACCAATGGCATGAAACACCAAATTTGGTAGAGAGGGTGTAGACAGTGTTTGGAGGCCTGCTAGTCTCGCGAGAGATGTAAAAAAAATGCACAGTGTATGTGGGTGTGCACTAGTGGCAAAGGCGGAGACGCAGCATACTCTACACCTGAGAGTACATGGCCGTAGTCCAAGAGCGGCTGGGAGGCGTGATGTGCATCTGATTTAGAAAAAAACGAAGCCGGCTCTCGAGGCTGTCGTTGGTGGATGGCGAATTGCAGCACTCTAGCACTAGCGTAGATCAGGTTGTGATCAGTAACCACAAGCGGATCTGCGGGTCGAGGAACGGACCTCCCGCTGTGACGACTGGGATGGCCCTGACCGTCGCTTCGTCGTTTTGTCGCCGACATGAGCCAGCCACGAGCGTGATCAGCAGCCAGCATCATCGATGCGCAGCCGGCTAAGGCGAGAAATGGTCAAGCCCAGTAGTTGATCTCTCAAGCAATACCCGCCCTCCCAGTCCGCGGACGGCTCGCTTATCGATCCTCCAAACACCATGCCCTCACCCTGGGATTGCTTTCTTTGCTTGCAATGAAGCCATGTTGGAGACAGCAAACGGGGGGGTTTCCTAACTGGGGCGTGGGCGGCGTACATGGCCTTATATGTACGGGATGCGCGATGTTCAGCTCGCCATTCGACGGCAGGGCGTCGCAGCAGGCGGGAGGAGAGCTGAGGTTGCTTTTGCCGGCCTTCCACGGTACGTCATGCACGCCGTCCGCTCCATTGGCTGCAGATCCCAGGCCTGCATTCTTGTCTCCGCCTCCACTCGACTGCATTTCTCACGCTTCCTCCAAATGACCATGCATAACACCTTGACTTTTTGAGAACAGGCTATCCTGCAGTATTCCTCATCTGGCGCCCCATCAACGCCACTGTCCATTTTCAGATCGTCATCCCGCGAGCACTCCATGCTTTATCGAGCTGCTCGGCAAACCCGCCAGCCTCTGGACCACACGGCCATGGCGAACCATTGCTATCCTCGACTTGCCCCAGCATCATCTGAAACCTCAGTTATGGATTGCTTTTTTCTTGTCGGCATCAACATGTTACTGCTGTTCACTGTTCAACTTGTGTATTGCTTTCAAGATTGGGCGCCAGCCCAAAGCATGATAGCCGACAACCCCAGCGCCATAGGCACAAGTGTTTTTGACTGACATGTGCTCCCATAGCTTTGGCACGTCACCTCACACGTGCTGTTGAGTAAAAGGTCGCCGGTCCCCTTTTGTAGACAAGCCGTTGCTTATTGGGCGCAACGACATGACGCGGCACGGTTCATAGTTCAACCCGTCATTTCGCGGCCATATCCCGTCAGACCACTGAAAAAAAAGACGCGTGGCTGTAATAGACCAGATGTGCAAGGCTGAGGTGCCTGAGGTGCACCAAACATGCATCTCTGCATCTCTTCAACACACTTTCCCCTGCTTAACATACGCTAATCGTGGTGAAATCCGCCAAGCGCCGCTCAGTCGGTTGCTTCTTCCGAGCGGCAAGCCGCACCAATATACATGGACAAGGGTGAGGCCACTCCGTTCTGTTCAGCCCTCAAGACACCAGGTGCAGGGATGCTGGCCGTGCAGCATCTATGGAGATAGTAAAGCGGGGCGTGTCGTGGCATGCTTGTGATGATCTTGCACAAGGGCTATCAATGCTTCGGTAGCAGTCTGCCTGCAGCCATCAATAAGCAGCATCCCCCGCTTTATCGGCTCCTCCGTCTTCGTCCTTGCAGTACGCACATACACCTGCATTTCATTCTCTTGAACCCAAGTGGAGCACTTGGCTAGCCGCACACTGCTCCGGTTGTGTTTGAATCAGGTCTGGTCTGCTTGGGTAACGAGCCAGTCTAGTCTTTAAGCATGAAATCCATGAATGATGGCATCTTGCATTGGTCCATGACTATTTGATATGGTGATAATGATTTACCGACGCACTAAAGAAATAATCAGAGGATATCCGACGGAAGCGCACATGCAATGGTGAAAGTGACTGTCGACCCTAGCACCCCCTCATCAGAAAAAATGGCAGTGGTTGTCAGTGCGGGTACTGTATAAGTCATACTGTCCGCACTAATCACCACTGCCATTTTTTCTGATGAGGGGGTGCTAGCATGAATGGGGATGACGTTTCCATGATCTAATTGCCTCGCATCAGCCTATCCACGTTTTGCTCTAATTTGGCGTAACTTGTGTAGGTGTACTCCAGTACGCACTGATTACGCAGATTTACCTGGTAATCTTGGGGACTCGCTACCAGACATGTGCATGTTGTAAACTGACCCCTACACCTACTATTCTCTACATTCTTGCTTAGCAACCACTGCACTCCCCAATGTCCTATGCCACTGACCGATCTGCTCCCCAAGCTTCTGGTAGGGCTGGGATGTTCTGTCGACAAGACGAATGGGTGTTGAGAGTGACTGCTACGTGGTCGTCGTTTGCGGGTGACACGTCACGTGCACGGAGGTACGCAGACTTTGGTACGGTACCTTGGAGTTGGTTTGTTTTTCTTGCCTGCTACACATGCCATGCCTGTCGACAGGGACGCCCCATGCCTGGCTTGTGTTTGCACAAGATAGCATGGGTTCCCCATACCAGCTATACACATGTCAGGCTGTAACAACATGGAGGGCCTGGGCACTTGGGTTCTGTCATGCTCGAAGGCAGATGGTAGAGTATCGGGAAGAGAGAGACTGTGTGTTGTTGAGTCCAGGGGCAGTTCACGGGCCTCGGGCGTCGGCTCCCCAGCATGTCCAGCCTGGCTCGCAACGAGTGAATTGTCGCCGTGATGATGGCGTAAGAACAGTCAGGCAGAGGGGGCGTGGCTGACCATTTGCCGTCAGCCAGGCCGAGAACAAGAGGCTCACTACCCCGCGTCTCGATGGATGGGCTGCCCCGCCCCGCACTCTCTGCCCAGACGCGGGGCCAATCACGGCTTTCGGATTGCTTAGGCGTCCACGCAGATAGGAAATCGGAAGCCTTCCGACCGATAACGCAGTTTCGGAAGGGCGTGTTATGTAGTTCCGAGGTTACTTGCTCGCATTTGCTGGCACGACGCCGGCTCACCATTACCACACGATTGCCTTATTTCTACTTTCTACTGCCTGTCACTCCATTGTGCTCCTCCACGCTCATCTCTCCTTCTCTTTTTTGGTCCGAGTCTCCCAACATAGTTTTCGGCGTCCACACTCATCATGTCTCCACCGTCCGCGACTGAGACCCAGGCGCCCGAAGAAACAAAACCAAGCACGGCTGTGCCCCTGGAGCCTGGTCTGAGCGAAAAACAGGCCAAGGGAATGCAGCTCAGTTTCCAAGGGCCACCCAAGTTCGACGACCCGCTCAAGGAACGCGCATACCTAAAGGGCCGCCTCGCTGCTGCATTCCGCATCTTTGGCAAATATGGCTTTGACGAGGGTGTGGCTGGCCACATCACTTTGAGGGTTGGTTCCTGAACCTGACAGGCTAGTACACATGCATGGTTGCTAATGCGACCAAAGGATCCCGTAGACCCCACGACCTTCTGGGTCAATCCATTCGGAGTGGCTTTCAGTATGATGAAGGCATCGGACCTCATTCTTGTCGATGCAAACGGCAAAGTCATTGACGGAGGAGAATGCCGTCTCCTGAATACAGCGGCATACATGATCCACCATGCCGTCCACGCCGCCCGCCCAGACGTCGTGGCCGCAGCACATTCCCATTCCATCTACGGCCGTGCCTTTTGCGCGCTTGGCCGCAAGCTCGACACCATAACACAGGATTCGTGCGCCTTCCACAACGACCACGTGCTTTACGAGTCGTTCAACGGAGTCGTGCTTGCGGCCGAGGAGGGCAACAATATTGCCAAGTGCCTAGGCGACAAAAAGGCTGCTTTGTTGCAGAACCATGGCTTGTTGACGGTTGGCCAGACTGTTGAGGAGGCCGTCTTCTGGTTTGTGAGCATGGAAAAGTGCTGCCAGGCGCAGCTGATGGCGGATGCGGCGGCAGCGGGCCGAGGCGGCCAGACGATCAAGATCAACGAAGAAGACGCTGTTTACACATACAAGACGGTCGGAACTCCACTGGCCGGTTGGTTTAGTGCAAAGCCATTGTTTGATGTTATTCACAAAGAGACGAATGGAGAGTACTTGGAGTAAAGGTAGAAGCATCTGCAGTAGTAGTACATTAGGTTTTTTTAACGACGTGTCTGAATAATTTGATACATGCTATGAGATCCTCTCGGGTTGTATTTGCACAGCATAGACCTAATGAGTTCGTCAAGCTGCTCGTTGGAGAAGTTGTGCACCAAGAAGTTGACGTGATGTACCTGGAAGCTCTCCTTGTCTTCCCATATCTTCTCGCTTGCCTTGGTAGCAGTACCCGACCCATCTCTACGCTACACATCGATATATCAGTCGCTAGCCCAGTCGCTACCCTCCTCTTCAGTTTTGCCCTCGTCCTCGATATCCGAAATGTCGTTTTTCAATGTGTGTTCCTTCAACGCGTAGTTTTTTTTTCGTTCATTATTGGCTCATCATCATGCTCAGAATCAGTGTCGGACCCATCGTCTTCCGAGACTTCGTCAAACTCAGCTTCCTCACCCCCATATTGTTCAAGACTATCGCGCTCAAGGATGTACTTCTTATCTTCCTCTTCTATTTCTTCAAGTGAGAGCTGCCCTGTAGCCAGAGTCGTTAGCAAGTGTGAAATATGGAGAGAGTAAACATGTGCTCAACCGCCATCTTACCATATCGAAAATACTCATCGGGGACCCAGAGCAGGTTAGCATCTACAGGCCGAGGACCTCGACCCGTTATGATTTCCAGTAACTCCTGAGCGAGGTGAAGCACCTTTTCTGCCATGCCTTCTTGTTGTGTCTCAATGATAGAACCAAATCAGATCATTGTCGCGCATGAAAAATTCGCCTACATGCCGTACAAGAAAGTGGTCAATAACGCCAAGCAGGACGATAAAGAGATGCTCTTTTGTCAATCTTTCAACTTGACCAAACAAGAACTAGCTGAGTACCTCAAACCAAGCCAGAATTCGGGTCGTTTTGGTAGGCATGACATTGACCAAAGAACTCCCAGCGCCAAAAGGTAAACAAGCCAACAGTAGCAAACAGCGAGGAGTGGTAGGGACTAGGCTGTCTACCGAGCGTAGGCTTATCTTTGATCTCCTGGAAAGATATACTGGAAGCAAGGTCCTCGAAAGCGGCGACGAACTGGAGGAGGACGATTCCAAAGAAATGGACGACGACGTGAATGCATTGCTGGTAGTAACACCATGCTTTGACAAGCCTCAGGACAGGCAGACCAAGATGTATGTTCTCTTGAAGCCAGAAAACGGCATCTGTAGTCTGTACAGCGCCTCCGAACCTGAAGACGAAGCGAAGCATTTTGTTGCGGAGATTGTGATATTGTTGAGTGTTGCACGCCATAATGGGTTCAATGGGCTCAAGGGTACCTTGATCCAGCAGGGTTCTTAAATACGTACGTTCTTACCCCGCGCTCCTTCAAGCCACAACCGATGTCCTTAAAGTCCTCCACGACGACAACATTGCTCACGGCAAGGCATTGAGAAACCAGCTTAGCAATGATATGGTCCCAGAATCACCAGTCCAGCTGTGGCAGCTACATGGAGATACTGCTGATACAGAATCTGCGCGACGACTCTATGACTCGTGGTGCATATTTATAACACACCACTATGCCGAGGCTGTCGATTTGACGACTCGTTGGCTACAGCATATCATTGAAATGCTAGAGACAGTTGTGGGCAAGAAAGAAAACCCCAGGGACGACGGCAAGGAGGAGGGCCAGGGTGACAAGGCCAAGTCGGGCTAAGGCAAAGGTCAAAAGGACGAAACCAAGGACGAAATCAAAGGGCAAAGGAAAGGGCAAGAAGACGAAGTCGACCTCCAGCAAAGCCAAGGGCAGGGATGGCAATGGCAATGGCAAAGTTGAAAAATCCGGCAAGGGCAAGGGTGACGAATGTGGTAGGGGCAGGGGCGCTACGCTTGCGTGGGCGACTCACTTGCCGTATACGTTATAGGATTCCTGTGTAGTTAAGGCACAGCTGCATAGCTCTCTTTCTACATTGCACTCTCCGCTCCTCTCCCTGCTGTACGTGAATTGCTGCAGGCATGCGGCATAGCACCGGCGAGGCCGGTGTAGAGATCAGGATTTCTGTGCAGTTAAGGCACAGCTACATAGCTCTGTTTATTGTCACTGCACCCAGCTTCGTTTTCTCTTATACGCACTACTTCACTCGACTGACCAACTTTCCTAACACCATCGCCATCTCAAAATGCAACATCTCCGCGATGGCCTGTTAGCTCCTCGCCAAAAGGCCCTCCCGAGCTCACTATGTTAGACGACGCCGCACATGACTGACAGGATGTGCGTGAATGCATCGCTCAGGGGGAAGTTGATGAAGTCCGGGGAGCAGCGTTTCACAATCGAACCTCAATCATTGATAATCGATACTGTAGCACAGGGGACGGCGTGGACTCGCTAGAAGGTTACCTTCACTCCCCGTGGCACATGTACTATCAGCTCGGCCGACACACGTCGCATGAAACGACTGACCAAGACCGCCTGGTTCTTGATATCGTCCGTATCTAGGGCAAAGGGCCATTGACTAGGCCCGTTTCTGGTTTGTACGGGATTGATATTGCACGAGCAGTCGATGGTACACTGTGGAATGACCTACCCTTCCTGGCCACTGACATGCCCGACTTCTGGATCAACAATTGCGCGCCCATGTTGGGAACACAGCGCCTCAACTTCGCGACTTTCTTGGCTAGACTGGCGTCGACTAGGGTTAGCAAGGACCGAATATGTCAGATCGCCCTCGTCCTATTTCGGTCAACTTTTGAAGACAGGCGAGAACTACGCTACTCGGAGGAGCCGGATGATGAACAGAAGAGTCGAAAAATCGATCATTTCGATATTGCACACTTGTCGCCAGCGGCCTATGCGTGGTTCAAGGAGGCCGGTTACAATCTCATCCAACTCTCGGATGTCTGCTGGAATGATTGTCCGAGCACGATAGGTCAAGGTGGTCAGTGGTTCATCGAGTCGGAGCTTGGGAAGCGATCACCAACGGGATTCACGCCGTGGCGATGGATGTACTGGCTTAAGCGTCTCCATGGAATTCGGCTTGAGGCAAAAGAAATTAACGAGAAACGCCTAGAGCAGTATGCTACAGATGCTACCGAGCTGATGGTTATGATCGCAACTCTAGAATTCTGAGGGCTTACCGAGACGGCGGGGATGCTCTGCATCAGGAAAAACACTTGTTGTGTCTGCAGAAGGGATATGATGCCCAGAGAGGAAGAGCCCAACGAAGAGACTTGGAATGCCTGCAATGAAGGTCTTTGCCATGAATAGCCGAATGTAACGTCTGCTACCTGTTGCTGTATTGCATTCGTATGTCAGAAACCAGCGGCTGTCCACACCTCAAACCCCGTATTTGAATTAGTGGAGCAGAAGAGGGCCGAGCCAACGCGATCAACAGAGCAATGGAGACGGGTTTGTAGATGAATTGATTGTAGCCGTAATGCACCTTGCAGCGATGCCTGCCTGGCAATATCGTCAACATGTGCGCGACTCGTTGTGTAAGCCGGCTATCGAGGGTAAGAACTTGACAACAGCTTTGTCTTCGTCCGGGGTAAGATACTGCCGGCCTTGGGCGGCTTCTTGCTTCGACGGTCGTCCTAAAGGCCGATGGTGGAGGGGTCCTGCCGAAACAAAATCGAATCGATCCTTGTACAGTCAAAATCCACCACGGTAGGATTACACGGGACGGTGTGGCTTTGTTTCCCTTTTGATCAAGGCATCGGACTACTCTACTAGGCGAGAGGTTGGTGCAGTCATGTGCCCAAAAGCTCGTTCTAGGCCCCGCTTGTCGACTCGGCCGACTGCTGGACCCTGGGCTGCGACATCATCACTTCAAGAATCGCCGTTGCTGCCGCTACGCTACTGCTCTGCTAACTCTCCTAATTGTCTGCCCTGTCCCGGAGTTTTTGTTTCTCCTTACGTACGTGGTGCTTTGACTTGTTGTTCTCTCTTGAACAATCCAATTTCGACAGCTCCTGACAGCTGCACACAAGACGCGAGGCTTTTCTTAGCGCGTCATGGCAAATGCCAAAGGTCCCGCAGTAGTAATTGTCGCCAGGTACCGCCTCAACCGTATTCACGGCTCCACATTCCGAGCCTGTACCTAACATCCTTCATAGGCACGGCGCTCGGCTGGATGCTGCTGACAAGTCATGGCATCTCACCTCGCCTGCACCCTACGACCCCCCACTTACATACGGCGGCTGGTCGCAGGCAAAGGCACTTGGCCAGCGCATAGCTGCATTGCTTATTGAAAGAGACAGCCAGCAGGCAGAAGCAGCGAAGACTTTTGCTAACCACGATTCCGCGCAGCCCGACTTGGGCAAGCTGACCATCTCGCAAGATGGGCAGGCACAGGGAAGCGGTGCCCAACGACCGAAGAAGAAGAAGAAGCGAAAGATTATCATCCATTCGAGCCCGTTTCTAAGATGCGTCCAAACAAGTACTGCAGTGGCAGCGGGAATCTCGCAGGTTCAGGCATCGACCATACCAGAAATCAGCATACCAACGCTGCCCAAGGAAAAGAATAGCACATTGGGGAGCTCCTCGTCGAAAGCACCACGGACCAAACCGACATCATCGCAACCTCGAACCTTTGAACCGCTCGCCGACCCCAACCTCGAGATCCTACCCAAACCTCATACCGGGCCTGAGAGGATTCTGCTACGTATCGATGCCTTCTTGGGCGAGTGGCTGTCTCCTGAGTATTACGCAGACATCACGGCGCCTCCCAACTCGACCATGATGGTAGCTGGTGCAAAGGCGGACCTGCTGCGGCGAGGCGATTACATTCAAGAACAGCCCAATCCAAACAGCAGCAGGGGTCATTTTCCAGGCGGCTGGGCTGGAAACAAGGCTGCGGCCAATACCACACAGGGTGCAAGAATGGGCAGCTTGGCACAGGCTCTGCCCTTACGCGAACGTTCGAGCAGCTACACTGGTCCGTTGGCTGTGCCAGGCACCGTTCCAAGAGAAGCCATCTCACCACTCATGGCACCTACACCTACACCTACACCTACGCCAGGTCCTGCTAGTACATCAAGTCGTATCTACCAGCCCCCGCACCCGTCTTACTCGGTCTCCCCAGCTGATCCCATACCGCGCGGATACGTTGCCCACGCACAGGAAGCTTGTGTGCAAGTCGACTTCCAATGGGACAGTATGCGCGAACCTCAGAACTGGGGCGATGGCGGTCAGTTTGGCGACGAATGGAGCACAATGCACAAGCGCTTCAGAAGAGGTCTTGCGGGTATGTTGCAATGGTATAGGACACACGGCACTGCACCTCCCAAGAACCAGTTCCCAGGTTTCATGTTCCGAGAGCCGCTTCGTCTGACGCCGCCACGCATGTCGCAAACCAAGTCAGATCCCTTTCCGAATTTTAGCGATGGCTCAGCCGGGCCGGATGAGGAAGAGGAAGAGGTTGTGCTGATTCTAGTAACTCATGGAGCTGGTTGCAATGCTCTCCTGGGAGCCATGACTAACCAGCCTGTGCTCATGGACATTGGCCTCGCTTCTCTCTCAATGGCGGTCCAGAGGGATAAGCCTAGAGAAACACCAGCACCATCGACTTTGCACGAGCGGCGACTCTCAGTCGCGGATCCTGGTATGCCGGATACCTACGAGGTGAAGCTCTCAGCTTCAATCGACCATCTGCGGCCTGGCGTTGATCCTTCCAAACCACCTTCGGCACAGGCGCAAGTACAAGCACAGTCACCAGTTGTGTTGCCGAGTCCATTGCTAGACCATCGTCGACGATTTACGGGATCTTCGACTGCCAGTACTCCTTCCGAGACACCGTTTTCCATTGGTGAGCCCTACAGGACCCGGAACAGCTCCATGAGCAGCATGCGTCGGACCATGAGCTCGGGGTCGAACTCGAGATTCATCCAGAGTGCAACAAGTGGGGCTGCATCTCCTGCAGGAGGCCTGTGGTCAGGAGCAAGCACGCCTGCTGTAGAGGAAGAAACGGGTCTCCATTCTGCACATCAGCAAGTTCGGTCGAAGGCCACTGGTGCTACAAGTGCCGGGGTGTCTTATAGTGAACAGGACGTGAAGCCCATGCCGCAAGCAGACGGCGCGTCTGATTCAACCAACCATCTTACCAAGCTGGACTCAAAGGAAGAAAGGGAGGTGGGCGACAAATCGACTCCGCTGGTCAGCGCCGCCACTCGGAAACAGAGTGCGGTGAGTGCAACAGGTCTTTGGGGCGCAAAGGCGGCACCTAAGCCCAGCCATGGGCTCTGGGGTCCACCGAAACTTGACGACGTGTATGAGCATAGGCAGGGACCCAAGAGGAGGTGGACAATGACGGAGAGGGAGGATGATGGATAGAGATAGGGTTTTGTAATTGCTGCTTTGGACAGGGGTGAGAGGGCATCATGTTCCTTAGAAGCTTAGATAGCAAGGGCAGAGGCTGGGGTTGGGCGTCTGGGTATACATGGATACATGAACATATACACCTGTAGTACATGTATATATGTCCGACTACGTGGGCATGTTGATGAGACAAGTAGTGTGCATTAATGCTAATCTTGGCCACCCGATGGGTGTGTGGTCTTGTAAGCTTTGATTGGGTGATTGGTCATGTAGTCCCCCCACCGCGGGCCCTTGGGGGGTGACGCAAGCGCGTCTTACGGGATCATCAGCAGCTGCTGCAGGAGACACAGAGTTGCAGTGCCTTGAAAGACGACAGCCGCCGGGAGTCGCACGTGCCGTATCCGACGGTGATGCATATCTACACTGCATATGTAGATGCGCATACTACACAGCCTTTTCCCAACTTCCACAACACACACCCCCTCGCCCAACGCACAACCCGCCAGCATCAGCCATTCGCGACAACCGCGCTCGCCGCGACAACCAGCCCCAGCCAACCCATCGAGCTCAGCAACCCCACCGTTCGTCTCCACACCAGCCGCTAGACAGATCACTTGCATCCACGCGGGAGCCACAGCTCGACTTTTGATAGGAGGCGGTCGTCGGGCCGAAAGACGTCCGGGCGGGCGCACTATTAGTGCAGTACCGCACGTAGGAAGGCTTGCATTGGCACTGGGTGTGGGCGAACTATTCACGCTTTATCCTGAACAAGTTTGCAGCACAGCAACAAGTCCCGACCATGTCTGTCAAGTCAGTACACCTTTCTCTTCTCTCTCCTCCTTTCCGCTCTCTCTGTCATCATCATCGTCGTCGTCGTCATTGTTACTGCTGCCCTTGCTGCACGGTGTTGGCTGCTGGCTGCCCCTCTTCCCCCAAGGCTTTACCTGCGCCAGCCTAGGCCAGCGTGCACCCAGGGCATAAGAACGCACCCTAGCACTGCGCCATGGGCTTTGGGTCCGAGAAAATGACCAGCAAGACAAAGTCTAACCGCAAGTCTAGCTGGGTGATGCTCGCTGAGAATGGCGGCTACACCCCTCTCCCCGGCGAGCAGACGCTGTACCAGTCTCCTGCTCGAACCACGCTCTCATTGCAGACCAGCCACCGACACCCTCCGAGCGAGTCTTACTCGCAACAATGCAAGTCGGGCGTCGTCTTCCTCACCAATCGACGAGTACGATACATCCATCCTCCCTTGCCAGGCAAAACATGGCCTGACGCACCCCATCGTGGAGCTAATTTGCATCGTAGATGATCTATCTGCCCGTCAACCCAACACCACAGTTGCAGTCCTTCGCTGTTCCTATTCTCAACGTAACCGACTCGCGCGTAACAGCACCATGGTTCGGCGCAAACAAATGGGAAGCCATCATTCAGCCTGTCCAAGGCGGCGGCATTCCTCCACAGCATTCTGAGCTCGACCTCGTCCTGGAATTCAAAGAGGGCGGTGCATTCGATTTCGCAAGCATATTTGAGCGACTGAAGGAGCGGTTACGGCAAGCTATTGAGGTGGCGCGGGAGAGCGGTGGTGATGTGCAGGATGGGACCAGAGGTGTTGGTGGTGTGAACATGAACAATGTGCATCTCGACGATCTGCCGGCCTACGAAGAGAGCCGACAGCACGCTAGAGTACCCGACCCGCTACCTAGCCCGCCAATGGACAATCCAGCAGTCGGAAGTATGAGTGGTGTCGGCGGTTCCGTTGTCGCGGCGCCCGAGCCTTCAAGCCCACCAGCATCGAGCTCGCTGTCGAGCCCACGGACGCAGCAAGAGCATTTTGAACCGCCATCGGATCCACCGCCAGGCTACGAGGAGGTACAGAGGAGTAGTATCGTGGATGAGCTGGAGAGACAGGTTAGGGACAATCCGTGGCAGGATGCTGATGGTAAGCGATGAAGTCGGGCACTCTTTAGTGTGCCAAGAAATTGTTGTGTTTGAGCAGGGCGTTCCGGGGTGAGGGCAGCTTCAAATGGCTGCAACGAAATATCACGACTTACATGTATCACTTTACTTGGCTCGAATTAGATTTGAGAATGGCAGGTATAGCTAGGCCTGGGAGTTGGCTTGAAATCCGACCATATGTCTTTTCTTGGAGGCTGCGCTGAAAGGTGATGTTTCTACCCAGAAATCTCATCTGCATCAGCAACATCAGACCAACACCACCAAATATCCAAAAACGTTACAAATCCGAGCACATGACAAGCAGCACTGCGCTGACTGACATGTGAAGCGTGTTCTGACCGCCCATCCCTCCGACTCTCTCCCAAAGCATGTGAAAACTACCTTCCCCGGAAGGCATGACGACCCCCGCAAACACACTAACCCAAAGCAGTACTTACCTCGGCGAATGCGAGGCGAATGACCTAATTGCATTGAGCCGAACGCGAGAAGACTATACACCAGCTTCTCTCTCCCTCTCTCGTCTGTTCTCTACTCACCTCCCTTCTCCTACCCTCTTCTCCTTCTTCCATCTCCTAACTCACATCTCTCGTCTTCATATCGTCTTCGAGCGTCAACATGGCAAACCAAGCCCCCAACAAAGGTATGCTTTGGTGCACAGAAACATGATTTTGACACGGCATACTGACGGCGCTGCTGTACAGTACAAGAGCGCCTTACGCAGGTCGAAGGCCATCTCCTCGGTGGCTCTGCAAGCTCTAGCGCATCAACATCCAAGGGAAGGAAGAACCTCCTTGAAAAGAGGCCTGACGATGTAAGTGTTACACCAGGTTTCAGCATGACGAGGTAAGCGCCTCTTTCAGAATCTGCATACTGACAATATGCTTGACAGGTTGTTGTAACCTGCGCGCTCCGCACAGCCTTCACAAAGGGTGGAAAGGGAGGCTTCAAAGACACACAAGCAGCTGACCTTCTTCACGGCGCTTACAAAGCCATCATCGAGCGCTCAGGTATTGACCCCAAGCTTGTCGAAGATATCGCTGTCGGTGCTGTTCTCGCTCCAGGTGGTGGCGCAACAGAGTTCCGCGCTGCTGCTCTTGCTGCTGGATTCCCTACCACGACCGCCGTCAAGAGCTTGAACAGGCAATGTTCCTCTGGTCTCCAGGCGTGCGTCGACATCGCCAACGCAATCAAGTCAGGCATGATTGAAGTTGGTATTGGCGCAGGTGCAGAGAGCATGAGCACACAATACGGACCTGGCGCCGTCACAGAGTTTTCCGAGCTCCTCGAGAACCACAAGGAAGCCGCAAACTGCAAGGTACCTATGGGCGTGCTGTCGGAGCAAATGGCAAAGGCCAAGGGTATTGCGCGAGCTGAACAAGACGCCTTTGCCGCATCTTCGTTCCAAAAGGCCGTCGAGGCTCAAAAGCAGGGTCTCTTTGACGAGGAAATCGCACCCTTGACCGTCAAGTGGACAAACCCCAAGACCGACAAGGAGGAGACCATTACCGTCAGCAAGGACGATGGCGTCAGGCAAGGCATCACCCCCGAATCCCTTAGCAAGATCCGCCCTGCCTTTGCCAAGGACGGCTCTATCCACGCTGGTAACGCGTCTCAAATCTCTGACGGTGCCGCCGCTGTGCTCCTGATGAAGCGTAGCACAGCAGAGCGTCTCGGCCAGAAGATCATTGGCAAGTTTGTCCAGGCCTCCATTGTCGGTGTACCTCCTCTATTGATGGGTGTCGGCCCTGCCGCCGCTATTCCCGTTGTGCTCGAGAAGACAGGCCTGAACAAGAACGAAGTCGACATTTACGAGATCAACGAGGCCTTTGCCAGCCAGTGCCTCTACTGCATCAACGAGCTTGGCCTCGACATGAAGAAGGTCAACCCCAAGGGTGGTGCCATTGCCTTTGGTCACCCTCTCGGTGTCACTGGCGCCAGGCAAGTTAGCACTCTGCTGACTGAGCTGAGGCGAACAAAGCAACAAATTGGTGTTACCAGCATGTGCATTGGTACCGGTATGGGTATGGCTGCTGTCTGGGTTGCCGAGTAAGAAGATTATGAAGAAGAAAGAGAAAAAAACGGCAAAGTAGCTTAGACCGAGAGTATCTTGTACGATTTGTTCCATGCCTTGTCGTTAGATGTATGTATGTATGTATATGCGAATCATATGGGTTTTTCCTTTTTTTTCTTTGAAACTTTATTTTCTTGAAAATAAAGCAAAAAAAAAAATATGTGTAGCATTATGGTTGTGATGTGTCATAAGAAAAAGTAACATATGTACAAGAAATCATGGTGAATAAATATGGCCTTGTGTGGTGTGCGTCCCTTGACCATGTGTGCCATCTTGCTTCCAAAAGAAGAAGAAGAAGAAAAGGCGGAATCGCAAGTAATGGTCTTTGAGAGACTGCATATGCACGCCTCAGGCACAACCTCTTGTGCCAATTACTGCCCTTGTGCAGTGTGCGTCTCTTCTTCTCTCTTCTCTCTTCCTTCCTCTTCTCGTGTTTTTTTCCTTGTCCGTCACAACACAACCTCGGCACCGGGTATTTCCCTCTTTCTCTTTCCTTTTTCTTCTTCCCCTCTGCGTATCATTTTTGCCGCATTCTTCGTCTCTGGCCCACGGTTGAACTCCTAGCATATCTGGTCGGACTCTACGTCTTCTCCAGCGCGTCCAATGTGTGTATGTGTAAATGTAATTAAATCGTTCATTCCAAGCTCATGTGTTCATTCACCCCGCATCGATATTATAGTGGTACGGTAATTCGCCCTCACTGGGATTCAGATTCAATCGTATAACACTGCCCGCAGAGCCCAGCGAGCTCTCACTTGAATTCGGAAGAATGGTGCTCGGGCTGCGTCGTGAGCGGGCGTGAATAACTACGGATCCTGTTTCGGATTCTGAGCCGGCGAGCGATCGTTGCGAGGGCGTGCCGTAGATGGTGGAGCCGCGCTCGTGCTGACGTGAGGGTGCAGTGCGGACGGTTTGCGGAGAGTGCGGTGTGGAGGCGTCGCTACTCGATGTAGACAAGAAGCTGTTGAGAGACGACAGGGTGGATTTGCGGTCGAGTTGCGGAGTACGGTAGGGAATGTGTGAATGCGAGGAGACGGTCGAGTCCAAGCTGGATTCGGTAGGTGCAAGACTGCGTGTGTCTGACTCCACATCTAACGCGCGCGCTTCCTCAACAACGGCCGGGTCTACTTCTGTCATGCCGTTGAGAACGTCTGCAAATATGGCCATGAGGTCGCGGAATTGTGTTTCGGTTAGGCTGGCTGTGGAGAAGCG